CCCTCCCACCCCCCATCAACCCTCAGTTTGTTCTCAGTTGAAAAGATTTTTAAAAGCAATTGACTCACAGAAAAGGAAACAGCTCCGAAACATAATTTCTCACAAAAGAAGTCCATGTTAAAACTATAAGGAGATGCTCATTTCTCCCCAAATTGGCAAATATCAAAACACTTGCCAACACACTGCATTGGTAAGGGTGTGGGAAAATGCATCCTTGTTCATGTCAATCTGTAAGTTAGTAAGAACTCTATGGAGGGTAGTTTGGCAATATGTATCAAAATTACAAATGCACAAAGGATCTAACAATTCCTCTTCTAGGACTTTAACTTTCATGTCGGGAAAGGTCTGTCCAAGGTGGTTCATTACAGTTTTGTCTGTAACAGGTGCCTGGAAACACCATAAGTGACCATCAGTAGGGGATTGGTTAAATAAATTATGGCATATCTGTACAATGAAAATCATGCTGCTACTCAACAAAATTAGAAAGGTCCTTATGTGCTGATATGGACTGAGAGCCAAGTTGTATTATTATTTTTTTTAATGTTTATTTTTGACGGGGAGAGAGAGACAGAGCATGAGTGGGGGAGGGGCAGAGAGAGAGGCAGAGAGAGAATCCGAAGCAGGCTCCAGGCTCCAAGCTCTCAGCACAGAGCCCGACGCGGGGCTCGAACTCACAGATTGTGCGATCATGACCTGAGCCCAAGTCGAACACTCAACCGACTGAGCCACCCAGGTGCCCCGCCAAGTTGTATTAAGAAAAAAAAAAAAAAAAAAAAGCCAGGCAATAGTGTGCTATAATTTTTGTAAAGAATAAAAATGAAAAGACCAAGCAAAATATATAGGTATATATGTCATTGCCTGGATAGATAAATAGATGATAGGTAGGTAGGTAGGTAGATAGATAGGCAGGCAGTCTGTGTGTGTGTGTCTCCCTGGAAAAATACATAAGAAACCAGGGAGGGGAACTGGATTCTGAATGGTAAGAGTGGGAGGGAGGAAAAATATAAGAAAGCACAAATAAAAACAAACACAGACGGCAGGAGACAGTGTGTAACTAACAGTACTCACATAGTCTACTTCCTGTTCCCTTTCTAAATACTAACTACATTTTCTCTTCTAGATAACTGTGTTTCAGAAATCCCGTCAAGAAAATTTGCAGGAACTTTAAATCCAGCAATGTGACCAGAGACTAGGCTAAGGTGACAGGAGGTGAGCACTGGGTAAGTCTGCCGGTCACCTTTGCAAAGTACCCACTTTGTGCTTTAGACGGAAAGGCCACACTCTACTGCCGGTAGTTTACGACCAGTGACTCACCATTCCGGTTTTCAGTCTGTGGACGTACTTTCAGTATCATGAGTTATTGAATCAAAACACGAATACAGACCATTCTCTGTCGTCCTTTGTGAGGCCTCTCTTGATGAGGTAACTAGATTAACAGGACAAAGCTGAGGGTCAAAGTGTGAGCCGGTAGGATGCCTCCTACCAAAATAATGTAATCGGTGTCACCTTTCTGAAATGAACTGAAGTCTGCCACTGAGGCACACGGGCACAGGCGGGCGTAAGGGAGACTTTGGGTCAGACCTGGCCACCGAGGCCTTGCTCTTCCCCTGTCCTGTTCCACGTGTGCATCGCCTGCCTCTCTGCGGGGACTTTAAACACCCTGGGCAGCTGGCCAGAAGCCTTGATTTGGTTTGCTGTTGTCGCCCAATCTGATATTGGTGGTTAGCAAACCCCGCCAGGCTCCTGGAGCAAAACAGATGGCTTTCTTCCCCCTTCTGATCTCCAGGGGTCTTCAGTGGAGAAGCTCCCAAGATTTCGTGGCCAACTAGACTTGAACTAACCTTCCTTAAGGCTGACAGCTCACCTCAGCACCCTCCTTCCCTCTCTGCCTTCTGCTTCTGCAGCAACGCGGAGCCTACGAGCCCTGCATTCTTTCTGTGGGAGTCTTCCCTGCCTTCTCGACTGTTCCTCACCCCTCCTCTCATCCCAGTGTGTTCCCACAGAACTCCGAAACTAAGCAGATTCATGACCCCCACAAACCAAGGTTGAATATCTGATAGCAATCTGCCCCTCATCCAAGAGACTCCCGAGCACCAAGGACTTCACTCAGAGGCGTGAATCTCCATGGTGACTTTTATGGCCACAGGAGGGGATCCAGGAGGGCCTGGGCAGAGGAGCCTTGCCAGGTGGCGACTCTGTCCACACTCTGGTACCCACCACCGTGCAGCTGGTTCAGCTCTATCCAGCACAGGGAAGGGCATCGTGCCCCTAGGTACCACCTTCAGCCACCCTTCTGCAGTCCAGCCCTCTTGATGGGTTTGGGAGTGCCCTGAGCTATTACAAAGGATTATGTCCACGTGCACAGTCAGGTGGGGTCACCGTCATGGGACACAGCTAGTTTCTATCAGGCTAGACAGGGAGCAGATGATGTGCTGGCCAAGAAGGATGAAGGCCGCTCCCCAGCCTGAGCCAGGTGCACATTCCTTGAACAGGGTTTTTCACACTAAGTCCCCGGCCTGTGTGCCCTGAGGGCTCAGGAGCCGGCCACTTCCAAAAGCGTTTCGCGTTTCTGGGTAACAGCCACCAGTGGATTGCCCGGTCATCTGCTTCTACTCTGTCCAGTCTGGCGGCCACCAGCTACCTGTGCCGACCGAAACGTGCCTAGTCTGAATGGAGATACTCTGGAAGCGTAAAACATACACCAGATTTTGGAGATGTAGTGCAAAATAAGAATGCAAAACATCTCATTAATCCTGGTCTATACTGATTACACACTGAATGACAATATTTTGGACAGGAGTTAAACATATTGTTAAAATTAATTTGGGGGGCACCTGGGTGGCTCAGTTAAGCATCCGACTTCAGCTCAGGTCATGATCTCGCGGTTCGTGAGTTCGAGCCCCACGTCAGGCTCTGTGCTGACGGCTCAGAGCCTGGAGCCTGCTTCGAATTCTGTGTCTCGCTCTCTCACCGCCCCTCCCCTGCTTGTGCTCTGTCTCTCTCTCTCTTTCTCTCAAAATATAAAAGAAACATTAAAACAAATTAAAATTAAATTAATTTTCAATTTCCTTTTCCTTTTTGTAAAATGTGGCTCCTAGAAAATCTTAAATTACGTACGTGACTTGCATTATGACATTTCTATGGGGCAATTTCCATCTACTTGGTAAAGCCAAGCACTGCACTTCTCAGAATCTCTTCTTGAATGTTTCCAGGCTAGAGCGTCAGTCAAAAGGGAAGGCACAAGCGATGCGGGAGGCAAAGGTGAGCAGCGACCACTAGGCTTTGAAGGTCATCGTTGAGTCAAGGTGGTTCCAGTCAGTCCTTGCTCTTGCCCTGCAGCCCGAGATCATTCCTGATGGACGGTCTCACTGAACCAACACTCACCGCCACCACCACCCCCGCCGCCGCCCCCCCCCCCCCCCCCAGACCCTTTGCGGCAAACTCAGAGGGCAGCCACAAAGAACCAGAATCTTCCAAAGACGTCCCGCCCACCCCACTCCCCAGCCCTTCCTTAGTCCCGGGCACTCAGTGGCGCCGGGCCAGGTTAACAACCTTGTTCTGGTCTAACTGCCCTCACAGCCTTCGCCTGCCAGCGCCTCCCCAAAACAAACAAACAAACCCCCCCAGAAAACAAAACTGGGAACATAAAACACACCGATTAATGTATCATAATGCAACTGACGTGGCTCCGAAGCAGAGGCCTGCTCTTTGCTCTGAGGCCTCCTGCCCCCAGACTGAGATTCTACTTCCTCGCGTTCTGCCCACCCCTCAGTCTTCTCTCTCCTTCGCTGTCCCCTTCCCCCCTGGCTGCTTCTTTCTCGTCCACCTCCCCGCTGTTCTGTTCGGAACGCATCTTAAAGGAAAAACACCCTCTCTCTCTCTCTCTCCTATGGTCAAATTTCGGAGACCTCTACACTTACTTCTTCACCTTTGGCTCCTGTGTGGACACCCACAATTCCCCGGTGACGGTCACCGACGGCCTAGTTTCCACATCATTGGTTTCTTTTTGGTCTTACTCAACCTGACTGACCTCACAGGAGAGCTGGGCATCACTGCCCGGTCTCTCCCTCCCCAGCCCCTTCCCATGGAACATCCCCCCCTCCCCCCATCACCCCTCCCCCCCCAGTTTACTGACCTTCCCTGGCTCCTCCTCCCTCCCAAACCCTTCATCAGGTCTCCCCGGGGCTCTGACCTCAGCTCATGTCCCTTGTCACCTTGTGCCCTCTCTGGGCACCGTCATTTATTCTACAGTTTATTTAAACCATTGTCTCCAAAGGAAGGACTCCTACATCTCTCTTTTCAACACCTGCTACCTGGGGTGACCCTAGGCCCCACGTTTACTGGGTCCAAAATGGAACTCACCTCCCAGTTTTCCATGTACAAGAAGTGTTGTCAAGGGGGGCGCCTGGTGGCTCAGTGGGTTAAGTGTCCGACTTTTGGTTTCTGCTCGGGTCATGATCTCACGGTTTGTGAGTTTGAGCCCCACGTTGGGCTCTCTGCTGACAGTGCAGACTCTCTCTCTCTCTCTCTCTCTCTGTTCCCCTACCCCCACTTGCTCCCTCCCTCTCTCTCAAAAATAAACATTAAAAAAAAAGTGCGGTCAAGACCCATAGGTTGCAAGTGACCTTCGTAAGCAAATGGACCTTTGAACAGACTTACGCAAAGCCCGGTGCCTCGAGTGATGTCCTCAGGACCTGGCATCCCTTCACCTCTGGGGTGAGCCTCTCTCCATTTTTGCTTCACTCTGGGGCTGGCCCTACAGACGTGTTGGTTCCTGCCAGCTCCAGACTCAAGCCCAGTGGAAAGCAAGCATCTCTCCCTGCTGACTTCTGCTCAACTCCCTGGATTCACCCTGATTGGACCACGTGTCCATTCCAGAATTGGTCCCTGTATCCAGAGATAGGATTGCACCGATTGGCAAATGGATTATATACATATGCAAACAGTCACCAGGAAGAGTAGGTTGGGTGGCTGGCCAGGACGGAGTTCACGCATCTCCCACAGGGGCTGGAGCCTGTCTCGAGCTGCAAGGGCAGAGAGTGGGTGAGAGATGGTTCCCCGAAAGGAATGTAGGGTCTACTTCCAGAAGAAGGGAGAACTGATATCTGGTCAGGCAACAAGGGCGAATGTCCAATCTACAAAGTGCCATGACCTCGTCCTTCCCTTCTGGTCACATACCCCCAAAGTACTGGGTCGGTTCTTCTTTTGTGTCTGTTCTTTTGCCTGGACTATCTCAATGGTTCCCTAAGGAAACTTCTGTCTCTCACCATGTGTGTTAGTAGTATGCTCATGTCGCTGGCCCAGTAGTATTCCATTCTTACGTTGTACTGCATTTTAAAATATTTACTTCTTAAAGTTTACTCTTGAGAGAGACAGACAGTACACGCAGGCACACACAAGCGGAGGAGGAGCAGAGAGAGAGGAGAGAGAATCCCCAGCAGGCTCCACACTGTCATTATGGAGCCTGACGCGGGGCTCAAACCCACGAAACGTGAGATCACGACCTGAGGCGAAACCAAGAGTCGGATACTTAAAAGACCGAGCCACCCAGGCGCGCTGCATTTCTTTAAATCCATTCACCTATTGATGGATGTTTTTGGTTATTACAATTAACCAGTTGTGTGTAAGTCTTCGTGTTGACGTATTTCCATTTCTCTTGAGTAGACAACTCGTAGAACGGATGGGTCGGACGGTGAGTGTGCTTAACTCTTCGAGAAACTTCCAAGCTGTTTTCCAAACTGGTTTGACTGTTTTGCATTCCCACCAGCCATGTAGGAGCATTCCATGTGTTCCACACCTTGCCAATACTTGCTACCGTCAGATGTTTTAACTTCAACGTTTCTACAGGCGTGTAGTGGTATTTCATTGTGGTGGTGATCGGCAGTTCTCTGCATGTGAGACTGCACATTTTGCATGTGCTTTTGGGCCCTCTGTATATTTCTTTTGTGAAGTGTTTGTTGAAATGTTTGCTTAATTTCAATTGGGTTACATGACTCACTGAGTTTATTTGCTAAAGAACTGTTAAGAAATTTTGCATCTGTGTTGAGGGATATTGGTCTTTAGTTTTCTTGTGTTGTAAGACCGCTGTCTGGTTTTGGTGTCAGAGTAATAAAATGATTTGGAAGTGATTTCTGTTTTCTGAAAGGGTTTGTATAGGACTGATATTAATTTCTCCTTGAATGTTTGTTTGAATTCACAAATGAAGCCATCTGGGCCTAGACTATTCTTTGTGGGAAGGTTTTTAATTACAAATTTTCTTTGATAGATACAGGGCTATTCAGATGTCCTATTTCTTCTGTCAATTTTGGTGATTTGTTTCTTTTTTTTTCTTTTAGAGAGAGAGAGGAGAGGAGAGGAGAGGAGAGGAGAGGAGAGGAGAGGAGAGGAGAGAGAGAAAGGGAGAGAATGAGAGAATCTTAAAGCAGGCTCCATGCAGGGTTCAATCCCAGAATTCTGGGATCATGACCTGAGCTGAAATCAAAAGTCAGATACTCAATCGACTAAGCCACCCAGATGCCTGGTAATTTGTATCTTTTAAGAAATGTGCTCATTTTGGGGCGCCTGGGTGGCTCAGTTGGTTAAGCATCTGACTTTGGGTCAGGTCATGATCTCGCAGTCCGCGAGTTCGAGCCCCGCATCGGGCTCTGTGCTGACAGCTCAGAGCCTGGAGCCCATTTCAGATTCTGTGTCTCCCTCTCTCTCTGCCCCCCCCCCCCACCCCCGTGCATGCTCTGTCTCTCTCTGTCTCAAAAATAAATAAACGTTAATAAAAAAAAAAAAAGAAATGTGCCCATTTTATCTGAGTTATCAGATTTAAAGGCAAAAAGTTATCCATAATATCCCCTTGTTCCCCTTTAAATGTCTATAGGATCTGTGATGATGTCCTTCTTTTCTTTTTTCAGTGTGGAGTATTGTGTGTGTGCGTGTGGGGGGGGAGGGTAGCGATGGGGTAGAAAGAACTAAAATCTAATCCTCCAGAGTAGAAAATCAGTAGATAACACCTCTGATGGGAAGAAATCAAGAATAGGTTAGAAACATGTGGTAGGTACTAAAAGAAAATGGAAAAGAGCTGAAAGTGGATGGGATTAGTGAATGGCGGGGCAAGGCGGGCCAAGGATTGAAAACCAGTTAATTCCAAACTAGAACAAAGTTCCACTCCAGGGTCCTTTCATTCTGTACCTCACCTCTTTCATTTGCCTTTCCCTCCCCCAATTTAGGCTGCACCTGAAGTGTGCTCTGTGCTCCCAGCCTTCTGTGAACTCCTCTCATCAGCGCCATTGGAAGTCTTAGTTCAGTCCCGTCTCCCTGGTTGTCTGACCCAGGGTCTACCCCATCTTTGGGGATGGCAGACCTAGACATCCCCAAGGATCCTGACCTTGGACCAATGGTGTATCGAGTGTACTTGAAACTCCGAGGATTCCCCTCCTCAATATAGCAAAGGTATCTTTAGTAATAATCATGAATGAAACAAATAATAGTAACCAGAAATGCTGTGAAAAATCTTAAGCTTCTAAAACAGTGGTGATTTATTTATTTATTTATATATATATTTATTTATTTATTTAGAGGGAGAGAGAGAACCTCAAGCAGGCTCCTTGTTGTCAGTGCAAAGTCTGACTTGGGGCTCAGACTCACAAACCATGAGCTCATGACCTGAGCTGAAATCAGGAGTCGGATGCTTAGCTGACGGACCCACTCAGCCGCCCCAATTTTATTGAACTTTTAAAAGATGTTAGTAAAAATTAAATAAGTATTAAAGTACAAAGAAGGGCATAACTAGTTCATCTTTTAATATGTAGTTTATCTTTACTCAATGGCTTGAATTTTGATTTTTTTTTTGGTTATAGATCTCTATGGCAGATGTTTTTTCTTAAATACTTGCCCCGTAGTAAGCACATTTTCATTAAATCAACACATCAGCATCATTTCCATAATCCAATCAACTCCCGTGACTGCTGCTCACTGGCAAGCCACTCTCTCCAGCTCTGAACTGCCCTCTATCTGCTTAATAGGTCACTGACATCTCAAACCTGAGAAGACAGTCACGCATTCATTTAGCATCCAACACATATCGAAGAGTCAGTAAATGGACCAACCACAAACATCCAGCTCTTATGATACTTCCCCATCTTGGTAATCACATCACCGGGTACCTGGTTACTTCGGCCGGCCGGCCGGAAACCTAGGAACCATCCTTGATCCCTCTTTTCCCCTCACCCTTTACATTAGATCCATCCCTCCATCTTCTCTGTTTTCCCTCAAAAGTCTATCCTGTCTATACACTTCTATCTCCACTGTCCCCATCATTTCTTACCTGGACTAGTGCAACAGTCTTCCACTCTGGACTCCTTCCATCCAGGCTCCATTCTGCAGCCTGAGAGCATTTTTTTTTTTTTAATTAACCTATTTTTTACAAAAAATTTTTAACATTTATTTTTGAGAGACAGAGTGTGAGCAGGGGAGGGACAGAGAGAGAAAGAGAGGGAGATACGGAATCCGAAGCGGGCTCCAGGCTCCGAGCTGTCAGCCCAGAGCCCGACGCGGGGCTCGAACTCCCGGACCGCGAGATCATGACTTGAGCCGAAGTCGGATGCTTAACTGACTGGGCCACCCAGGTACCCCATTAATTAATCTATTTTTTAGAGAGGGTTTTGAGAGAGAGGGGCGGGGGAGGCAGGGAGAGAAAGAGAGAGAGAGAGAGAGAGAGAGGGAGAGGGGGAGAGGGAGAGAGAGAGAGAGAGAGAGAGAGAGAGAGAGAATATCTTAAGCAGGCTCCATGCTCAGTGCAGAGCCCAACATGGGGCTTGATCCCAAGACCCTGGGATCATGACCTGAGCAGAAATCAAGATTTGGACGCTCAACCAACGGAGCCACCCAGGTGCCCCGCCCCACTAGAGAGGTATTTTTTTTAGATGCCAGTTTTGCAGTGAAATCTTCTGCTGAAAACTTTTGCCCATACAGTTTGCGAAGTCCAGCGTGGCCTGGCCCCCGGCCACCTCTCTTCAGCTTCAGCTCACTGCACTCCAGTCTGTCCAGAGGTCCTGGACCTCAAATGTGCTCCTACGTCCAGAACTTCATACGAGCGCCGCTCTTTCCTCTGCACCACTAGTTTTCAGCCCTCTGGACTCCGGCCACCTGCCTCTTCCCCAGTGAGGTCTTCCGTGCCCCACCCTGAGGTCCACTAGCCCAGGAGGGCGGTGAGCGTGTCCCCCTACTCATCCCATATCCCCGGCACCCAGTACGGAGCCTGGACCCAGGCGGATACTCGTGACAAGGGTGGCCAGTGTCTCCCTGTTGTTGGAGGGGCAGAGGTCGGGAGCTGTGCTGTCTGGGCACACACAGGGCACACACTGGGCACACACAGGGACGGGTGGTTCTGCAGACAAACCGCCAGACAGAATGGAGTTGCCTTTCTGTGGGCTGGGCCAAACTTCCCAGAAGTCTCCGTGTACCCCTGAAGTTGAGTGTCTTAGGAAAACGCACGC